TAAATTGCAATATATTTGTTAAAAGATTTCAATACTTCTTTTATAATGTTGACCTTTTCAAAGCTTCTTGAAAGTATAAATATGACCTTGAAAAGGTTAAACATTCTGCATCTAACAGAAAAGGGATTAAATGAAAATTGTAGGCTAAGAGAAGAAAACAAACCTTCTAATTTCATATAATAGATGATGATTTAAATTTCTGTAAAAAAAAAAAAAATTCATTCTTAGCCTTCATTTTTTGCTTTTCAATTTTACTTTTGAATTTAACATCACGACTCATATTCAGTTTATATGAACAAAAATAATAACAAGAAATATTGGCTAACTTTACTATATTCTATTCGAAATTAATGTATTTAGATAGAGTGAGAAGGAATAAAAACAATCTTCACTTGATAAAAATTCTATTTTATGATAATAACTACAGGAAGAAAATGGTGTATCAAGACATTTAAGAATATTCACATTTCTTTCATCTTGAGCATACAGAAATAACATAAACGCACTATAATATATTCATCGAGATTTTAAACTGTGCAAGTGATACAAACAATTTAAATTTATTTTTAATAATAGTTAAAAGTAAATTTTTTAAATTAAACAAAGTAATTATATTATTTACATCAATAACCATTTCAGAGATAAAAATTAAAATGATGATTCATTTTAACATCATATTTAGATGCTCAATTCAATGATTGAAATTCAAAGAATTTCACTAATTTATTCACATAATCTTACATTTATCAGCATTATATTTATGTAAGCATTCAAAAACTGGTAAGTTAATCCCATATTTTAGATTAAATGTAGACAAAATAAATCCTCAGAATTATGTTTTTCAAACAAATAATTCAAATTAACTTTAAAGAAAAATCATCTTAAAATAATACAGAATTGCATTTTGAGTTCATTTATTATGCTACCTTATGATTTTTTTACTTTATATTGCTTTAATGGTGCATTAAACCATTAAGAAAAAATGGCCCCTAAAGGCAAACCTTTCATTTTTAGTAGATGTTTCTTTTTTACACTGACCTAAATATAATTACTGTATGCTATCATGTTTATATTTTATTTTTATAGGTTAACCATCACATTTTCTTCTTTATTTTTATTATAACAAACAAAATCTCATCAGCATAATATAATATTGATAAGTGCATCACTACAACTTTACTCATTTGTATATAGGCCTATTATTCAAAAAATGACAAATGAAAACTTAACAGACATTAAGAATTAAGAAATCAAGATGACAAACTTCAAAAATATGGCAGATAACTGCAACTGTTTTGTTATACAGATTGCAGTTTTATAAACTGTATATAAATTAATATCTGAACAGTAAAACTATTATTTTTAATGAGTTAAATTATACAGAATTTGGGACAAAAACCCAAGTGAATTCTGGTGTTAACTCAATTTTACCCATAATTTGGTTCATTTTTTCTTTATAGGGCAGTGATTTAATCTGAAAAATATTTTGGTAAAATATAATAGTGTTGACACAAAATCCAATTTAATCAATTACAGCAAAATGATCTGCCAAATCAGGCTGTTTTCAGGCTATATTAATAATTAGTTACCAGTTAATTTGACTAGATGTAGATGGATATGCCGCCATCTAGTATTAATTTTAATAATTATAATAAATTAATTTTTAATTTAGAAATTTCTGGAAGAACAGGCCCAGAGCAAGACTCAAACCCACAACTTCTGCTTACCATGCAAACAGGTTGCCCATTTGCAACTCAATAAAAAACCATTATGCTATCTGGACCTCCATCCGGATAGTATGATGGTTTTTCAATTCCAGAAATATATGATATTGTTAAATATTTATCAGTCTAATACAAACTTCAAAATATTCTTGCAAAAGAACCAAAAATCTGCTTTAACAGTACTTTTAGATCTATTAAATAAAACACACATGCATTTTTAACTCTAGCACTTTAATTTTACAACTTGTCTTCAGGGGTTAAGTAGATTAGAGTATTTATTAAAATCAATATAAATAAATGTCTCAATATTTGTCAAGAATGTACAGAATATGAAACTTTGACTGGAGAAGGAATCTGATTTTAAAGAAGTGATAAAACAATAAAACTGATTATTATTAGAAAGGAAGATTATCTTAGAAGATAAATATCCTGAAAAACTGAGACAAAAAGTAACAAATTAGCTTAAAATGAAACTCAGATGATGCTTATGAGTGGAGATTGTCTCAAATACAAAGGAAAGCAACTAATGTTGACATCTCAATATCTAATTTACCTTCAGAAAAGAAGAATTTATAATTCTGCATCAATTAATGTAATCAAGAACAATATAAAATTTAAATTAACTATAGCAAACTTGACAGAAATGATAAAAAGAAATGAATTCAACTGTTAAAGCTGTATCATCTGCTTTGTATTTCAATATAATTCTCATCACTTACAAAGTTATTAAAAATTTGTTTCAATGATTATAACATTATGTCTTTTCTAGTCAAATTTATTTTCTTAAATAATGTTGTGAATGCCAATTACTGAAGAAACTATGAGACCAGAACAAATGATCTGTTTTGGCAGATAACAAATTATTCGTGATTATAATGTAAAGATCGAGCCAATAATAAAATATCACTAATTCAAATAGAGCATAAATTTATGAATTAATGTAGAATCATTATATATAAAAAAAATTACTTTTCCATCTGCTGAACCAAAAACTATCACAATTTAATGCCACTATAATGAATATATTAAAGAGTTTTATTATTATAATTATATTTATATTATCAATAAGTCATGATTTTTTGGCAGTGAAACATTGTTACTAAATTTAGATTCAAATAAAGGTAGAGAATTTAACATTAAAAAGTATAATAAAAATAGATATTTTAAATCTAAAAAATAACCATTATTTCTGTTACAAAATGAACTTTTAGTTAACACATATTCATCTCTAGATGAGATGAAATTAAGCCTTGGAAGGAACTTTTTCTGTTATTGACATAGAATTATTACATCCATTACAATTACATATTATTGTAACTATAAAAGTATTAGTGCTATAATAGCAGTACAGCAATTTACTATATTATATAAAATTTTGTAAGACAAATATTTTATATATATATAAATTTACAGTTATTTACAGTTGTTTAAACACTGATCACTGGTATTTAATCATCTAAAAACCATTTTGAATAAAATACCAAATTGCTTACTTAAGTTCAAACAATTTTTATAATAAAATCAAATTAAAAATGGAAATTTAAAAATGAATAAAAAAAATCTCACCTGTAACTAAATTAGAATTAGAATACAATGATATCTCTCTCTCTCTCCTTTTTTTTTTACAGAAATTTTGGTTATATACTAGTTTTAAACATATATATATAAAAGATATAAGCCATTGATTATTCTTTTTTTAGATAAAATATATATTTTTTTCTTGACTATATTTTATACTTAAGTGCAATTATCATTATTAACAATAAAATATTTTTTTTGTTAAATAAGCAGAAAGATAAATACAATAAACTTAATCTTTAGAAGCAAGATTGTTGCTTACTTACAAAAACAAAGATGATTATTCCAGTTAATAAGTTATTAAGAATAAATATGAATAACATATTCACAAAACATTCTTACTTTTTATTAAGAAAAATACTTTATAAAATGTTTTGTATCAATGCAGATGATTAACAAAATGATGGGATAAGTCCATGTTGGGTTCTACAGTTTTAGCAGGGGATATATGTATCTATATAAATTGTTAAATACATTTGTCATTAAGTAAAGACAAAGAACAGACATTAATTTCTATATGTATATACACAAATTAATAACTGTATTATTGAACTTTAATATAATTAGACTTAAAAAGACTATTTTTTTACACTTTCCTAAATTTTCCACATGCAATACCTGTAATGCAGATACCTTTTTCATTACTACTACTAAATTCCTTTATAAATTACACCATCCTTTATATATTTAACTTAATTTGCTGCCTTCTAACTTATCACCAATCCACTATAATTCATATATATATGCTATTATAAATTTGATTTTAATAATTGAATTAATAATTCACTACGTTCACCAGGAAACTAATGTCTGATGACCCATTTACATTCGTTTAATCTTAGCACAAAACACTTGCCATTTACTAAATATCTGAAATCATAAATTCTCAAACTGTAATTTGGCGGAAAATTTCACATTAGACACTAGTTTCGAATCCAACCCATCGAGACGACAAAGAAGACAAACTTTTATGAGCATCACAAAAATAGCATTATCCCAAGCACGTGAATGCAATTTACCTTTGCCGAGCAGAAAATTCACCTAAATAATAGAATTAAATTACCATACATGCATGGTACAAAAACATGAAAGGTTTTTAAAAGTCGCAAATTACGGCGTAGAATTTCCACAGAAGAAATCGTACGGTCTTTTGACATTAGATTTCTCCATCCGATGAATTAAACACGTGCAAGTATTCACACAAATTTAGTTCGTCAAACAAATAAATCTAACATCAAAAGACTGCACTTCTTCCATATAATACATTTGACATCGTAAGCAAGAGTATAATTTTATGGAATTTCTAATTTTTCTTTTAATTTTTTAAATTTTATATTATTATGATATATTATTATAGATGTTAACGAAGAACGCCAGCCACTATAGTGTCTCATTGAATAAAAACCACAGGCCAAGAGTGCAGTGTTTATTCAGTAAGTGCTATGCAATCACCTGATTAGGAAACAAACAATGACAAACCTAGGACAATCTACGTCCAGCTGATGCAGCCATCGATACATAAAGACGTTATAAAGGTTTAATTGGCGTTGTGATTAAGTCACGTATCGATCAAAATAAGGTAAAAAGTCACAAAAAACTAACGATCGGAGGAAAATGAAGCCGACAAATCCGAATAAATAGGTCAATCCATCAGTACCAAGGACAAGCGTAAAGAAACAAAGAACACGAGCTTCATACCTTAAAATATCCTCCTTCGTACAGCGTGTCAGGTGGTCCGAAAATGGCTACTTCCCATTCGAATAAAACATCTTCGTTAATTAATTTAACACGAAAACCTTCCACTGGTTCGTCTTGTAAACTTTTGAATTCCAAACCTAAAGCTCTCAATGCACTGCTTGTGGGTTGTGTTGCCATAATCGAAACCCACTAGAAATGATTTTTTTCTCCTTGCTTTTTTAATTCTAAAACAGTAAATGTAAACAGAATCGGTCGTTTAACAATGTCGATAGTTTTTTAAAGTTTTACTGTCGACTGGCCCAACTAAACGTTAACGTAGACGTGAAAATGCGATCGTTCTGTTTCTTTCCTCACTCGATACATGAACAAAGATGGTGGTCTTGTGACGTCACAAATGAGTCGTAATGACGTCAGGCAATTTCGCATTTTGCCTCATCGACAATTTTTTAAACTTTGTATAATATATTATCGTGGTCTATCGTTATCGTATAAATTAATTGTATAAAACTTTAATCTTTTTTAACTCTTAATATTAATAAAATTCGATTTTTGTAAAAACGTCAAAGTGACGTCAGTTGTTTTCGCCTTACGTTTACTACCCATCCTTATAATTTAATACTTTGAACTATTAATTTCTACTGTCATTTAATTATTTATCTATAGTTATTTTATTAATTTTCTCCGTTTAGAAACAGATGCAAAACATTTTAGACCAGACGATAACATTGGTGACGTCACATCCTTTTCGCATTTTATCGCGAAATCTGTTATATCTCTAAGATTCGTAATCAACTGTGCATTTTATTTCTCATATTTAAGTTATGCGAAATAATTAATACGTGTGGTTCGATATAATGTAGGAAAAAGTAAACCGGTCTCGACAGCAATCTCGCTGTTGCTACGAGAGTTTGAAAGGGAGAGGAAGAGTCGAATGTTTAATAATATTGATTACCAGTCCTATTTCCGTTTTAAAAACGCTTAATGATTTACGCCGATAGTTGGTTTTAAGTATTTATCATACTGGTATAAATTCTAATAAGTTAAGAAGGGAACCCAGACGTAAATTAGGTTTTGGTCAAAGCATGAAACACAATATGGCTGCAACTTTGACAACTCAGGAAGAACAGGTAAACGATTATGAAATATTCAATGTAACTTATCGTATTTTGTCATAAATAACGCGTGTTACGCTCTATTCAATTATCCAGAAACCATTGTTGCGTAATACACTACCCGTAATTGTTTTAATTGTGATTTTTTTGATGACGTCGATCCCGGTTTGAATTTCGAATTGATGAACACGTACTCGATCACTTTCCTCATTAATTAATTATCTAATTAAGAATAGTTACGAATCCTTTAATTGATAATGGGCGTGTTAACTACTATGCAATGCTTCACAATCACCAGCATTAGAGGTTTGTTACTTGGAATTATTTTATCTGAATGATTTGGAGCTTATGAATGAAATCAAGTAAAATATCAAAGTGTGATTCAATTTATATATTTTACTGATTCTTAAACACAAAAATATAATAATTGAATCCAGTTTGATGATTACATAACACGTTAAGCACTAAATTTACGGCTTCACTAGCTAGAAAGTAACGTTGACAGAGATTTGAAGACGAAACTGAGAAACTCTAAGAATATTAATTAAATTCTGATTCGAATATGTTTCAGGTCATGTTTAAATCGCTTGGTTATATGTCGAGAAGACAGAATTAACGATCCTCCGACAAATCGGTTGATTCTGGATGCTGTGTTGGGACCATCCAGAAGTAGATATTTGATCTGATTTTTTCCACCCTCCTGCAAGCTGATTTACTGGATTAATTACTCTGTCATTCGTCATAATTAAAACTGACTTATGAGCATTATTAACTTTAGAGTGAGATTAAAAACATTTTACTGTTATTTCAAATAATATGAAAACAACTTGTTATATATATAACAGGTAATTTATTGGTGTGTTTTACCAAATTATAATTTAAAATGTTTTTGAGTTCATAGATACCGAAATCATTCTGGGATATTGGAAAAATAAAATCTTTATTTCTCTTTTTTCTCGAATATCAGTATAGTGGTTCAAAATATTTGCAATTGTATTATTGTAAATTGTGCTCCAACAAAACAGTTTTTATTTTTATAATTAGTGTGATAACATGTGCCATTTGTATATTCAATATTTTCACATATTTTTATTTTCATTTGCACTTGCAGTTAAATATTTATGCAGACATGCTATCGTATAAATTGCTACGAGAACGAATTCTAAATAATGTTTATAATTAAGAGACGATTGAATCATTATTTAATAATAATAAATTTAATAAAAATTTAGAGTTGTACATATTTTAGCTTATTCAAACATGATTTTAATTTAAATTCTTACAATGTTTTTTTATATAAAGTTTTCAGCTTTTTTTGTTAAATTATTTTACATTTTATTTCTGTTTTACATTAGATTCTGGAACCAAGGAATTATGATAGAGAGACCCACATTACTGTTCACATCATATGCATTAACCTATATACACACAAAGAATTTAATTGTAAATTCATTAAGTATTTTTTAGTTATTAAATAATTTTTTCTCTACAGATCTGATGTTTCGTGTTTTATATGCTTCTAAAATAACAGTTGTGTTTGTTATAATAAAAAGTTCAATATAAAAAAAAATCATCATAAATTATTTATTCTTAATAAGAAAATGTTATTGTGAATACTTACAGCTTTACTTAAATTTATTTAGACTTAGGATATTTAAAATTATTTTTATAGTAAACAGAGTTTGAAACAGGAAAAAACAATCTTTAGTTATTTAAAGTTTGATTTTTGAGTGTGCTATTGACTGTTGATCCAAAATTAAAATGTGAAATAAATTTTATTTTTTATAATTGATATTCATTTATCTATTCTACATATATAAAATGCTTAGCTTGAAATCATTGTCAAAGTTTTTTCTGTCACTTAAAAACAGCTAAAAACAGTGACATGTCACTAGGAATTGGTGAATCATCATGAAATTTTTGAACAAGTGGGTGAAGCTCATGAAGTGAACAAGCAAATCCCCTAGTACATATATGTTGAATAATATTTTTGTTTAGAGAGAAGTTTTGTGGAATTATATTATTAACTTAATAAGAGCACAGAAATTAACATAAGTTTATTTTGGAATATTGTCTGTAGCTTTTCTATATGGAAAATTGATACAGACAGCTCAGATAAATTTTATGTATGTTTGCATACATTTATACATCATCTCAGGAATAATTAACATATTATTCACTGCATTCCTGTTGGTATTTTTTATTGATTTTATATATTTTTTAATATTAAATGAATTAGTAAAGAAATGTTTACATGAAAATGTTTGTTTCAAAGACAAAAGTAATAAATAATAATATATACTAATAATCTGAATGAATTTAAACTAGCTAAAATTAGAATTAGTAATTTTTTCTGAATGTCAACAAATGATTTTGAACTTTATGGCTTTAATTTTCTTTTAATCATTTAATGGTAGTTCTGTATCAAACAGATAAAACCAGTTCTAAAAAAGAATTATTGATTGTATGTATAAATATATATAAATATGTTGGATTGTTTATATTCCCATGTTTACCATCTGAAAAGATGGCATATGTTCAACTTTTATTTATAGAAAATTCTTTATTTCTATAGATATTTAACATAAACCAAACCAAAGTATAATAGCAATATAGAGTTTTTTTTTTTTTTATTAAAAATAGTGAGTAGATACAGATATATCTTAAATTTTCAATACTTAGTTTTTTAAATTTATTTTTAAAAACTAAGTAAAGTTTTTTTATATGTAGTACAGTAGAGCCTCGATTATCCGACCTAATTGGGGACTGGGGTTGGTCGGATAATTGAAAGGGCGGATAACCGAAAAGTATGAAAAAATCTATTATTAGTGTAGTATATTGTTATATCCCATGTAATTAGTATATTAGTATATTAATATATCGCTATTAACCTATTTTGCATTGAATTTTCATCGATGTTAAGCCTAACAAAAATTTTTTAAAATAATAATCATCGCTATTGTATCGTTAAAAATTAGAAAGTTAAGCTTCGTTTAATTACTGGCTTTCTTTCATGGTCGATCCAGTGTTGCCATCTAAAACACGTAAAAATAATATTAAAATAGCCAAGACATAGCCATATATTGTAGCGCCAAATCAATAGTGGACATTTAAAATTTGCCGACTAGGACAGTCGGTTAACCGAGGGGTCGGATAATCGAGGCTCTACTGTATGTTGTACTTATGTAGCAGTCATATTACTGTAGTTATTTTTTGTATGTATACAAATATGTTACAGTTTTCATTGATATCTTAAAGAATATTAAAAAAGTCTATTTTTCTTTTTTCTGTATAAGTTTATGTAAAGTAAGCTGATTATTATTTATTCAAGTAGTGACTTTTAGTCTTCTAATGTTTACAATAATACATTAAGAATTCTATTATGAAATATTGTGGAATCCAGTTATAATCACAGATAAAATTATCATTTGGCTATACAGTAGAGCCTCGATTATCCGACCCCCGATTAACCGACCGTACTAGTCGGCAAATTTCAAATGTCTGCTAGTAATGTGGCGCTACAATATTTGGTTATGTCTTGGCTGCTTTAATAGTATTTTTACATGTTTTAGCTGGCAACACTCATTCGACCATGAAAGGGAGCCAGTATTTAAACGAGGCTTAATTTTCTAATTTTTAACGATATAATAGCGACGATTATTATTTTTTTAAAATTCTTGTTAGGCTTAACATCGATGAAAATTCAACGAGAAGTAGGTTAATAGCGATATACTAATTACATGGGATATAAAAATATACTACACTAATAATGGATTTTTTCATACTTTTCAGTTATCCGACTTTTCAATTATCCGACCAACCCCAGTCCCCAATTGGGTTGGATAATCGAGGCTCCACTGTAGTTATCATAATCAGTTGGTCCCAAAACACTGCATATAAAATTAATTTAAAATAATCTATCTATTGTAATTAAACTTTAGCTATTGTTATCAGTTGTGATAAGAATTATTAGCAAATTCATACTAATTGGACCTTTCTTCGAAACTACTTTTAACGTAAACATACCTTTTATCTTGTACATACTGTAAGGGCATGACAAAAATTCTTAGAAGATACCTACACTATACTACTTTACTTGAAGTGTACCTTTAGAAATGAAAATTTCTGTTGCAATTGCTCTAGTTTAATTTTTGTGATCTGTTGAGTTAAAAATTGTTTATATGAAATGTAACAAATATGAATCTATACTTGTATTAAGTATAGAGTTTGTGATAAATATAAATTGTACATATTCGTAATATAATTATTTGTAATAAATTGAGTTCAGTAATGAAAATTTTTATCTTCTGTCCAATGTTATCAGCCATTTGTTATCAAAAATTGCAAAATCCAGTGATCATAATAAGCATATTCCACTGTATTTCAAAATGGCCTCTTTAAAGAATTGATTGCCAAATGAACTGCCAGATATTGGGCTGTAATAAGATAATTTATTGATTTGATATATAACAATAATAATGAGCAGTTATTTATTATGACATGGTCACAATGCCAGACTGTAATTTTTAATCTTACTTTTAATTTATTTAATTTAAAATATATGCTTTCTATCTCAAATTAGTACTGTAGTGTCTTGCCCTTGTACTGTACATCATACTTTTCTGTTAGATGACTAGCATCACTCCATTGCTATCTAATTTCTTTCAGGGGAAAAGTTTTGAATTGAAATAATATGACTTCCAGTTTGCATTGGAAGTTTGTATATAGTTGATTGGGGCTTTCTATCCCTAAGCTTTCTATATCTGGACTTGACTTCCATGTATCTAATTCCATTCTTGAGATTAAGGAAGGATGGACAGATGACAGTGAGAATTGCAAGTCCAATAAATAGTCAGGCAGTTCATTTGGCATTAGTTATTCAATCAGGTTGATGTTATTAAAAAAATAAAAATTATGCAATGAAAAACTACATATTAAAATAAAATAACATTGTACCATTTCAGATGAAATAATTTAATTTTAAGAGAAAGAACTTGAGCTAATTTTCCAAATGA